AGAGGAAATAGAGAAACAGTTGCAAATCCACATGTTCAGCAGGGACATTTCTGGGGCCAGAACACTCCGTTTCAAAGCTCCCTCTGGTGGGGGGAGCCCAGGACAGGGGCCACTGTCAGCGCTTGATTCATAGGCTCTGGTTTCCAGCTGTTCTGAAACAAAAATGTTGAAGGAAACCTTGAGGAAAGTTTAAAAAAAAAAAGTCTAACTTTCTGCTCTGATACGCATTTCTGTCCTGGAAATTCCTTGTTGGACCCAGTTCCCATCTGAACGTATTTTATACTGAAGGCACCTTCCACACCTTTCGTTTTCATCTGCATTATTATTATTATTATTTTAATTGACCACAATAACTGTATGTATTTATAGGGTACAGTGTAATATTTTGATACATGTATACAATGTTTACTGCTTAAATCAGGGTAATTAGCATATCCATATTCTCTGTGCAACTTCATACAACACTGCGCATTGGCGTGATGCCTCCATGTAATTTTTCATAAAACACCACATATTATTTTGCACGTTGAACAGAAGAAAACATTCCTTCCCCTGCCCAAGTCATACCTCCAGAAGTGACCTCTGAATTTCTAGGCTGCAAGTGGACTGTAGAGGTCAGTAAAGAGCAGCTGAGCCCCCAGCACATGCTACAGATAGATCCTTTCACATGACATTACTTCCCTTGAGGCTGGTGGCTTGGCTCCCATTTCTTGGGGTGGGGGCGATCAGGCTCTCAGTCACTTGCTTGTCATGGCACTTCCTTTCCATCACTAACTCCCAGGGCTGCCACCTGCCCCCTTGACTGCTTCAGAGACAAACACCACGTCTGAGCCGAGCTGAGTACCAGCCCTGCCTTCCAGCTCTCACCTCCCCAGCCCTCTCTAAACTCTTCCCTGGGATGGCTGCAATGCAGGTTGAGGGATAGCCATGGCCCTCGCTGGGGTGAGCATGGTCCCTGCCCTGTAGGACTCTCATCTTGGGGGGATGAGGGTGAGGACCCCATGGGGGCACTGTCATGGGAGTAGGACTCTCACATGCCATTTCACTTAGCTCATCCTCACCCCTGTTTGCAGGAGGAAAGAGAGCTAAGCCTTACACTCTTTGCACCCATAAAGAAATGGGCTAGAGGATGCCCTGAAGCTGGTGAGGGCCTCATGTGGGACCCTCAATCCCAAATCCTAACACACACACTTCTACCCTGTCTCCTCCTGGAGTGGCAGAGGGAGCTTTTGGGAACAGGAGGGAGGTTGGAAGGAAAAGGTGAATCGATGCTTGGAGCGACCTGGGTTTGGATCCCACTCACCTGGTCACTGCCGGGTGGTGCGGAGCAGACCTCCTGTATGACAACAGGGAGAGGCCTAGCTGGCCTCAGCCCTAAGCCACATCTGGGTTGTGCCTGGAAGCTGGGGTTGGGGTCAGGTGGTGGGCTCATAGTACAGACAGAGTCTGGAACCCTCAAGGCAACTGTCTCTTCTCCTTAGGCAGAGGTGGCAGGAATGCTCTGCCTCTCTCTGTTTGGGGCATCTTCCCTTTAGGAAGCTTCTAGAGAGCTTCTTAGACCTCTGGATATGGGAGAGGGACAAGAAAGTGGATGGTGGCTTCTCATGGGGCTCAGCACAACAGCGTATGACACTATCATCATGTATTTCACTTTGGAGAAGGGCCATCAGCCAACGTGGACCCAAATCATGCTAAGGTACACCATATACATGCCACACATAGTGATGCAAACCCTGCCTTTTAATAACCGTCATTGTGAACTCCACACTTGCGGGGATTATATAGCTGCAGTTTAAATCTAGCCTGTAGGGGAAATTGTTGTCAGGTCTGAATTTTCAGACACCATCATCAATAGAAACATCATTATTTTAATAGCCTGCAGTCAGATTTTCCCTAACTGCTCAGTCATAACAATACCTTGGAAGAGATTTTAAAAATTTACAGACACCAGCCCCTCCCCCCTCCCAGCACCAAGAGAACTGAATTTGGTCAAGAGTGGAGACCCTAGGAGTCTGTTTGAGGAATAACTGCTTGTGCCATTTCTGGCAGGGATGCTGAATATTTATTATTGCTGTTTAAAAGATAGGGGTTTTTTTTTCCCCTCCAGAATTCCTCATTGCTAGGATTCAAACTATCTTAATAGAGCTACACTCAACATGGAGTCACCACAGAGGTGTGATCATCAGAGATTCATTCCTGAGAGGGCTCGGGGGCCTGGCGTGTCAGAGGCTTCTTCTGAGTCTGATCACTGTCAGTCCTCCCTGGCACTCCCACCTGTCACCTGCTTCCCCAGCACTGCGGAGTACGTCCTGATGCTTAGTCCTGTGCCCCATGGTGTCCTGGAAGGAGTGTGCTGGCCTGCAGGAGCAGGGTGTTTCTGGAGCTGCTGCCCCACTCACCTCAGGGAGTCTGAAAGCACCCCTGGTTTTCCCATGTGTCTGCAGCAGCTGCAGCGCTGCCCAGAGCAGTGCTGACCAAAGATGAAACATAGAACATCTTAGAGAAGTCTGATGATTGGACTTTCACGAAGGGTTGCCTCACTACTGTGAGGACAGCACCCCACAGCCCACTTTTCTCTCTCCTGACAGGCTCCTCGGCTGATGAGCCACTGGGTGGAAGACTCCGGAAGCTGAGCCTAGGACAGTATGACAATGAGGCTGGAGGTCAGCTGTCCTTCTCCAAATGTGGATGGGGAAAGGCCAGCGTGGACCAAGCCCCAAGCCTGGTGCCTTTCCCCTCTCCAGCAGATGTCAAAGAGGTACGTGCTGCAGACCAGTTCCAATCTCTGGACTCGTTCCCACTAGGTTTCCTGTCCTGGGGCTCGGGATACATGAGCAATGGCTGGGCCTGGTCCCTAGATACAGCCCACTGTATCCTCCTGCACCCACCTCTCCCCCATCCCGCAAACATGTTCCTGTGTGGTGGGCAGGTGGCTGTGTGGAGAGAGCATGTGTGCAGTCAGACGGCCTGGGTGATGTATCCCAGAGATAGCCGTGCAGGTGAGGCCACCTCTCTCTGGCGGTCTGAGCCTCTGTTTTGATCTGAGTGATAGGCAAGAGGTACACAGCATGCAGATGAGTTGTTAGGGCTCGAGGTGGCCTGGCCTTAGTGAGACTCTGGCTGGACAGCTGTAGTCAATGGCAAACACAGCCTTCTTCCAGGGTCATCACACAGGGCCCTGAATTCCCCCTCCAAGACCTTCACAGGAAGTGACCCAGAGGCGAGGTCCACAGACCAGAGCTGCTCCTTGCTCTCCTGAGAGACATAGTTCAGGCTTCTAATCAGAATTGAAGTGTAAAGCAGGCTTATGTACCCAAAATGATTAACCTTTTAAAGTATGGGTATAGGCCGGGCTCGGTGGCTCAGCCTGTAATCCCAGCACTTTGGGAGGCAGAGGTGAGTGAATTGCTTGAGCCCGTGAGTTCGAGACCAGTCTGGGCAACTTGCGGTGAGACCTCATCTCTACAGTAAGTCAAAAAAATTAACCGGGCATGGTAGCGCATACCTGTAGTTCCAGCTACTTGGAAGGCTGAGGCGGAAGGATTGCTGGAGCCCAGCAGGTCATTGCTGGGGTGGCCGTGAGCATGCGTGCCACTGTACTCCAACAGAGTGAGACTCTAACTCAAAAAAAAAAAAAAAAAAAAAATATATATATATATATATATATATGGCCTTCTCAGGTTGGAACCTCCAGAATGGATGAGAAAAGAAAGTCATTTGTAGTCTTAACTCCCAGACAACACTAGTGTCAATATTTGGAATATTTCCACCCAACCTTTTTTCTATGCTGTATGTTTAATGTATTGTGTGTTTTTATATGCCTGTGAAGATACCATAGTTAAGGATTATTTTAGTCTGCTTTTTCATCAAATGCTGTGAAGTGCATTTCCTTGTGCTATTACAAACTCTCTGTCAACTTCATTTATTAGCTATAAATCTTGTATAATTAGAATGGGCCATAAGATACTTCCCTTTTCCGCGCCGTTGAACATGAAAGCATTTTCTGTTTTGCTGTGGCAGGGAGAGGCGGGTTGGATCCAGAGCTCGGCCTCCTCATCCTGTTCCCAGACGAGGGCTTGGCTTGGTGGACCAGGTGGGGGTCACAGCTTTTTCGAAGGGGCCTTCCCTTGACTCCCCATTCTCATATTCTCCTCCCCTTGCCAATTTCAGTCAATGACCGCTGCGTATCCCCCAGGCCTGGATACGATCGATGGCAGGATGTTAAGTGGCAAGGAGGCTATGTGTTCAACGCCAGCATTCCCTGTGTCTCCAGAGACGCCATATGGTAAGAGAGAAGTAAAACTAGCTGCATGCAGCTCGACGCCACGAAGAGGAGGGTGACAACAGCTCCTCACTGTGCTTTCTATTGCAGTGAAAACACCCCCACGGTGCCCTTCATTCAGCCCACCGGAGCCACAGATGAGCAGCCCGACCACTCTGCACAAAGGAGCACGTGGTAAGAAATCTTCCCTCCCCCTTCCATCCTGGGGGGGGCGAGGCAGCTGGGCACCATGTTGCACGGTTACCATTTTTGCAAAGGTGTACTCTTACGCAGAAATATTTCCATCTGTGTCACATCTCGGAAGCCTTGGGGCTATGAAATCCCCTGAGTGGTAGCAGCCTGGCCTTGAATCCTGCCTGGCGCCCTGCGGGAAACTCTCCTGGTCAGCCCTTCCAGACGCTCCTGAGACAGGTCGCCTTGATGGGACCATCTGCGGTGCCTGCAGGCAGCTTAGCATAAGTGCTTTTGAATTCCTGTGGCATTACCAGCCAGCAGGAAGTTGGGAGGAGGACACTAGAATGCCCACCCGTCCTTTTCCTGAGGAAGTGGGTCCCAGCAGAGAGTGGGTTCTCTGCAGGCAACTTGCGGCATGGACACCCCGAGCTCCGTCACCCCAGCAGCCTCCTCAGGCACATTTTGGGGCTCCTTCTCTCTGTGGGTGCCTGCTCATTGTACCTGGATCTCCACAGTGGAGCTCAGGGATGCTATCCATCCTCTGCATTGTGTCTATCTGTCTAGACGGCCCAGGGGAGGGCATGTTAATGGGACAGTGTTCAGGGCAAGTCATTCGGTGTTTCCTACAGGTGAACATCATCTAGGACAGGCAGAGCTCGGGCAGGTGGAGAGAATGTCACCTGAAACCCACCACTGTTCTCCGGGACTTGAGTTTCTTTATGCTGCTGCTTTTCTGCCCCAGTGAGGAGACCCATTCGTGGTTGTTATGGTTATTAAGTGCATGTGTGAGCATGGACACATTACTTGAGAATGGGAGATTTCCACTAAATTGTATTCAAATCCTACCCCTTTCCCAGGAGTGGTCATGACAATAACCACTCACTCGCTCCATTTTCCCTCCTTCTCTAGAGCAAACCAGGCCTGTGGATCACTGAAGAGAAGGGCTGTCTTTCTCCTGCAGGTTCCTTTATGGTTTCAGGATCCTAAATGCTTCTCTTCATACATTGTGCAAAGCAGTTAAACGACCCATATTTCATAGCACGTGTGACTGAAACTTAAAGTAAGAAAAAGTGCACACAGTATCGCTGCTTTCCTATTTATATGTTTTATGAGCATTCCAGGAGAAGTGTGTGTGTTCTGACATGCATTAGTATGAGAGACACACATGCAGAGGGTGCCAAAAAATTGATACACATTTTAAGAAAGGAAAAACAGTATTGAAATTGTAATACTCAATAAGATGGATGCTAGTCATATTTGACTTCTACAATTACAAGAGGTGCTCAAAGTGGTTACCATCAGCATCCAGACACTTCTGATTATAGCAAACATCTCTTAAAATGTGTATACATATTTTTGGTACCCCATCCCCCCGTATATATAGCCATTCATATACTCTTGTATTTTTTGTTTTTTTGAGTCAGAGTCTCACTCTGTCTCCCAGACTGGAGTGCAGCAGCATACTCACAGCCACCCCAGCATCAACCCGCTGGGCTCAGGTGATCCTTCCATCTCAGCCTTCCAAGTAACTGGAACTTCAGGCACGCACTACCTCGCCTGGTTAATTTTTTTAATATATACTGTAGAGATGAGGTTTCACCAAATTGCCTGGGCTGGTCTCGAACCCCTGTGCTCAGGCAATCTTCTCACCTCAGCCTCCGAAAGTGCTGGGATTACAGGCTTGAGTCACTGCGCCCGCCCTTCTTGTGTGTTTTTATCATTTTACTGGATACAAATAGAGGAACATCCCTTAGTCCCGCACAGCTCTCTCCTCCTCCTCATGGAATGGACTGTACTTGACCCCTAACCTGAAAGTATATGGTAAATTTGAACTAGAACCCAGCCGCCTGGCCTAGAGTTCCATCATCTCCTGCAACACCAAAACAGGTTGATCCGAGGCAGGCAGATAAAACACAGTGGAAGGTGAGGTGTGAGCCTGGGGAGAAAACACTAAGATAAGCTTTCAGATTCGACAACGCTTGTGAGGTCGGCCTCTGGGATATTTGTATTGCGTACCAAGTGACTGCTGAGCCTCATCTAAACTTGAGAAGGGCTTAGGATGCTGCAGGAAGCCGGTGAGCTCAGGGTGGAGTGCCCAGCAACCTGGCAGATTTGTGCCGGCTCGATCGTTCCAGCTTGGATTTGGACTTCGTGTCCTGTGTGTCAGTAGCACTGCCACGTGTGCCTGAGGACACGCCCTGAACAGCAGCATATGTTGGGTTTCAGTGGAGTCAGCATGTCCTAAACACCTTCTGCATGTAAACATCTACATGGAAGAAGTAGGGGTTTTGTTCTTAAATATAAAAAGAGACACTAAGAATATTAGTAAGTCTTCTAGAGTCTTATTTCAGCAGTCCTCAGTAAGGGTCAACTTTACATTAGCCTACAAGGAGCACAGAGACACAGTGCTGACTTAATGGATTCTTTTGTCCAGACAGCATGGCGAACCTACGCTCTTGCCTGGAGGTCCCACATGCCCTGCTTAGTCAACTACGCTCTTGCCTGGAGGTCCCACATGCCCTGCTGAGTCAAGCAGTATCACAGGAGTCTGCCAAGAGCACAGTGATAGTAGAGGTGGCTCATGGGTGCACAATATGTCCCCTATTCTTTACAGGATAATTTCGTTTCACCTTTCAATCACTTTAGTTATTCCTACTGTTAACCCCATTTACAGGTGAGGAAACTGACATAGGGGAGTTAAGTCAGTTACCTGAGCCCTGTAGCTAGTAAATGGCAGAGTCAGGGTTCCAAATCAGCCAGTGTGACTCCACAGCATGGACAGATTATACAGGGCTTATTTTTCACTTCTTCTCATCTAACCTGGATGTGACTTACTGTGGTGACAGAAAAAGCACATGGAAATTCTCAGAGGCATGGGACGACCATGTGATTCGTGTACTTAGGGGATGCCTGTGACGTTTACGCGTGGATACTGTTGTGTCTATGGATGACATGATTTGCTTTAAAATATCTTTAAGGAGAGGCTTTGCTTCCACCAGGGTGAATTAGACATACTTTTCCCCATTCCTCCTGCTAAGTGCAGCTAAAAACCTTGGACAGTGTGCATAAGGCAAACGTTAGAAGGCACTCTAAAAGGTGGGGAGAAGAAAGTCAACCAGTCAGGGGCCTCGGGACCCAGCCACCCGGGTAGACCACATCCTGAACCAGATGACAAACTCCAAAAGACTAAAAAGAATTGAAACCATATGGAACACATTCTCTAGCCTTGATGGAACCAAACTAGAAATCAGTAACAGAAAGGTAGTAGGAAAATCCTCAGCACCTGGAAAGCAAACCACACACTTGTAAATAATCAGTGGGGCAAAGAAAAAGTCTCAAGGGAAATCAGAAAGCACACTGAACTGGATGAAAATGAAGATAAAATATCAAAGTTTGCAGAATAAAGCAAAAGCAGCGCCGAGAGGACATTTATGAGTAAATACATACTTTGGAAAAGAAGTCTGAAGTGAATAGTTTAACTTCTTATCTCTAGAACCTAGAAAACGAAACCCAAGGCAAACAGAAGGAAGGACATATTAAAAATATAAGCAGAAATCACTGATATTGAAGACAGAGAAACAACAGAGAAAAATAAAAGGAAGAAACAGTGGGTTCTTTGAAAAGATTAATAAAAATGACAAACCTCAGCAAAACTGACAAGCAAAGAGAAGACACAGACCACTCTTGTTGGGAAGGAGATGGACACCGTCACTAAAGACCCTGCAAGCACCAAAACAATAATGAAGGAGTACGTAAACAGTTCTATACACATGCTTTGTATAAATTAAGTGAAGTAGTCCAATTTCTTCATAAGCTCAGACTGTGAAAATTCACCCAGTATGTAATAGGCAATTTGAATGCCCTGTAACTATTAAGGAAATTGAATTAGTAATGTACAATCTCCCAAAAAGGAAATCTTCATGTTTCACTGGAGAATTTTACCACACATTTAAAGAAGAATTAACACTAATGCTACAAAATCCATTCCAGAAAAATAGAAGAGGGAACATGTCCCTATTCATTTTTGAGTATTTTGATAGGTTTTAATATATAATTATTCCTGCTATTGTTAATATTTTTTTTTTTTAATTTTAGAAGCCGGGCTCGGTGGCTCAGCCTGTAATCCCGCGCCTTTGGGAGGCTGAAGTGAGT